TCCAACGACGGTAACATTGCGGACATCGATAAAAATAATGTCTTTAATATATACACCTTATCAGACAATCACTTATTTTTAATAGCTGGATACAGAATAAGTTGAACAGATAAGGTTTTGGAAATTTTCTAAGAAATGATAATTGACAGTTTCTATGTAACATTGCATTACAAGTCGTTTTAAATATTATCTCTTTAGAGCAATCAGAACAAATTTTTCAAATAGCGTTTAGTAGTTACATATTTTGCAACTAGTTCTGTATCAACTCTAGTCACAGGTTATCAAACCGCTGCAGTGCCTTTCAAGCAGATGTGTCTGCTATCAAAGTAGCAGTATATGTTCTACTCTGAAGTATAGCCTCTTACAGAGAAGTAAGCTCTGAGAGCAACGCAACAATACCGACACTGGTTTTGGTGACAGTGCGCTCAACACTAGTAGAAATGTATGTGATCTCACTGCAATGCCATCGAGCTAGCTACAAATAAAGTACCCTTGATCCAATTTAATCAGACTGGGGATGAGTTGGTAGGTTGACTGGTTGGTTGAAAAGGGAAGCGTCTGCAGGCTGCCGCATTTAGGTCATTGTGCTCCCGGGTGGTAACCAAATTAAGCCTTATCCATCAACTCAGTGGCTTTGGTAAAAAAAAAAACTTGATTTTTTCCTCTCCAGCTACCCCATGCCTTTTAAGATTCACTAAGATAATGTTCCAGCGTCTCATCATCCACTGCGTTTGCTCTGCATTCCGCTGAATCCACTTTTGACATGTTTTATAGATGGGATCTTAAGGGTAGGTTGACACTTACAATATTACTAAGTTCCCTTTTGCTTAAAAGTAGATGCTTTTTAGTCTGCCCACCATCAACACTAACCCAAAATAACTTTGAGAATTAAATAATCTGGAGTAGCTTAGAGCTCAGCTCGTTTGACTTTTCATTTTATTCTATTCCCATATGACTGAGCACCCAGATGATATCAATCGAGCTACCTGCTGAGAGTCAGGTTATTGCTTGCTTTCATAACCTAATGCAATTAGATTTAGTACTGGCGCGACGCATAGCCTTAATTGCTGCATGGCTAGCCACTAAAAGCTCATGAGATCTATCACGACTCTTTTGCCACATTTGTAGCAGTGCTAACCGAACACTGTCTCCATACATGCGATGATTTTAAAAATTCTGTTGTAATTTTCCTAAACAGCAGTAGAAACGTCTCGGTAGTCATTATCTTCAGTAAATCGGTCGATTTGACTAGTATCGATATTAACCACCTTAACACATTTTTGTTAACATCAAAGTGCCGTCAATACATGAGGATCTTTAGACCCAAATTTAAGAGCACTTTGCCGCGCATAGAACCGATGTTTCAACTGTCCAAGTGACCATCCAAATCATCATTTATGCAGAACAACTCAATCCATGGATATAACCGCTATATATTTATATTTAATTTTCATGACATATTTGCGGAAAATTTTTATACCACACAAGCAATAACGCAAAGTTATGCAGTATCAATTATGCAAGACACTCATAAAAATATAACTGATAATTTGTCGTTGTAACAGCAGCAAACATTCGAGTTGTAAAAATGTTGCTAAATAATGCAAGCGAATTGAATTGCATGAATGTTTGTTAAGCAAATTCGTGCGGCTTTGCATTCGTTTCAACCACACGAACACACTTTTACATACACACACACGCGGATATGCTGAATTTAACGCATTGCAGAGGAAACCACTTAAGACTCGATATCACTTTGAATAAAACATGCGGCAATTCAAGTCGCCTTTTTATCTCTCCTTCCCGATAAACTGCAAATATTGGCGCTACTTTGTTCCATTTGCCGACATCAACAGCAATGCGCGGTAGCTATATACAAGTAGTAACAGTGTTTGTTGGCGTGTATGTCATTGTCATGTTGTCGGCGTCAATAAAAAGTCAAGTCATAAAACCTTGATTAGCACTTGCGTTGCCTTTTATGATCCGCCGACTGCGCGGCAGTCAATGCTTGCACTCATTGTCGCGCAAGAATCACGGACGCACACTCACACATACACATACATACATGCAGACAGGCATTTAAATTGTTTGACGACCAACTGTAAGCTATGCTCTGTGCTACACAATTCCATGTACATATGTATTTATGTAGATGACCTAAAATAACGGGCTGCCGAGGGAAGCTGCTGGCGCTTGTAAGTGCCGCATGGCGTACTCCATCCAACAGAATTTCCCTCAATTTGTTCACTTTGCACGACATTACACTGCACTTTTATGCCGCCACAATTACTCCAGCATCAATGACGCGTAGTTGGGCAATTTCTCCTTGCCTCGAAAGCTGCACACACACCCAGAAACACCAACGCGCGCTCAGCAAAGTTGCTCGACCTCCATGCCACTACGTCTCTACTCCACTTAGTATTTGCTCAAATAAAACGCCCCCCATCCGAGGAAATGCCATCGATGCTGGCTCGTCGGTTTGTCGGCGTCGTTATCGCTTTCGGCGTCACCCATCATCCGCACGGTGCTTCGCTTTTGATGATGATGTTGAAGGAGCCCATGACGTTAACGTCTGCTCCTTTCTGTCATCATAAAATTCGTTTGTTCGTTTGTTCGTTTGCTTTTGCTCATATCGAATGCAATTTTCCAATCGCTGATTCGTGCTTTCGATATGATAATTCCAAGTGCAATTTGTGGTGTTCATTTGTGTAAGGATATGGCAGTTGACATAAGGATAATGTCTTCGGCATGGTATGTATGTATATGTTTAATGTTCATTTCTTCTCAATAGGAACTCGAATTATTTGTTTTTTTTTCATAAAGCTAATGACTATGCTAGCCGAAACTGAAGCTTAGAACTCTATAAAAATTATTCGAAATATTTTATTTCGAAATGCTGCTAAAATACGAAGCAACTTTTTTCAATATATGAATATTTTTATCATGTGCTTGTGAAAACGAGATTCTGTTGAAATCAAGAAAGATTAGTGTGACATAGAATTTGATATGAGAAAAGTGAGGGAGAGTCTTTTCTAGCGAAGCAAATCTTTTTTATGATAGTCTTCGACTAAGACCCCACCATAATGTAGCACTAAGCATTATAAGCCTATTATAAACATAAGCATATGTTTATCAGGTTATCAGGTTAGCATTATATATTACGTATTACTTCGACGATTAGTATCAGAATCGGTTTGAAAAAAATTATATTTTGTGTCATTTCAAAGAACATCTAAGAGAGCCGTACCCAAACGACTTCCCTTTGAGGAGTTCCACTAAAGGAGGTTGCGCTGTTTCATACAATAATGGAATAGAGACTGTAGGGCATCTTTTTCGTCTTGACGATTCAACTTTAAAACAATACTCCGAAATAGTCTAAATTATTGTACCATGAACACTCAGAAGGAAACGAAGACCATATATCTAAATAATATCCTATATCTAAATATTCATGATGAGCTTAGTCGATTTAACAACGTATTTTGTGCGTATATACGCGCGCTAGTCTCTCATTTTTCGAGATATCGATGTGAAAATTTACACACGTCCTTTACACCACAATAAACTATGCATTTGACGGATCCGCTGATATCGGACTACTAAATCATTTAGCTGCCAGATAAACTGATCGATCAGAATCAAGACGCATATGGCAGTACAAGCTTCAAATTGACCTTGCTTTCGCTCGGTCATCGAGCTTAAAAATAAACAATTCTTTCGCAGACGCATTCTAGCAAGAACACTTTTGGTATCTCCATTACCTCCCTGCTTTGTAGCCATATATTGGCTGCAGGGTTTGCTTCCGGCTATCGCTAGTGTAGTTGCTTTCCTAAAGCGAGCTTTAGCTTCAGCTCTAGCATTAGTGCCAGCCCTTACACCGAGACCAAGCTTAACTCCTGTCTTTGTGTTGGCTGTGTTCCAGCTCGATACAAATGCTGCCCTGTCTTCCTCGAAAGCCGGACTGCTTTAATCTTTTAATATTGTTGTTGCTCTGTTTCAAAATCTGGGCCACGAGTATAAGGAAAAGTAGGTCCGCTTTGGCATAGCCCCCGCTACGCAAGTAAAGCTATCTTATTACGGAGGATGCCAGGTATCCATAAGTTCTTGTCGAGAATGGGCTATTTAAGGTCCCCTGACATGAGTCGCATGACATCTTGATCCAACCCTTATTGTACTCCCAACCATAGTAAGACTTCAAATTTGAATGCTGTGCTATTGAGGAACAACGAACACCCAAATTAATACTAATAACTAACTTAATACCTCCAAACTGCAACAGGGGCTAACTGTTACCAACCCGTCCGTTTCATCGTAGTAATACTGTGTTATCTATTACCAGTCGGCGCCCCCGGCTAGGGTTGAGCGAGAAATTTTCGCCAACCATTTTTGTAATAAGTTACTATCTCCCAAGTATTCAACGTTGCTTACAGAAAGAGTACTCGTACATCCATCGCCTTGTTGATCACTTGCGCCTCTATATTCCACTGTTTCATCTGGTCTATCAAAGCTCGATGGATGAATTACTTCCGCCTTTATTTATAAAATATTGCATTGGCTAAATATAGTCATATGGTAAACATATACACTGATCTCCGTCATATACAATACATATGTACAACGCTAATGACATTAAAACTCCACCCCACTACCGCGCTTTCTTTGGACTGCCAAGCTTTTACGACTTGATTCTACGCCAAAGAGAATACGCCATTAATATCGTGTATTTTATGAGAAAAGTTTATGTTGCTCAATAAAAGCAAAGTATAAATAATGGCAAATCATTTCCGGCACTCAATTTGAACACAAAAACCTAATGGAATCTTCGCCACCAAATTTGATTTTCACCCGCATATAATTTACTGCCGAAAAACTAAGCTCATAAATGCGACTTTCACATCTCTATGTTTATGTATAACAATATATTTGTATGTACAAACACACACACATATTCTCTGCTTTGTTCACTCAAGCCACCATTTCTTTTCTCTTATACATTTTAGTGGAGTAAATTGCAAATGACGTGTCAGCAATTGGATTGCATGCAACGACATGCTGAGGGACATGGCGATTTGTGGCACAAGCAAGCCAGCATTCTGAACGAGAGTCATCAAAAGACTGATACAACGGCTGCTGCTACTGCTGCTGCTGCTGCGGTCTGTCGTGCAGCGAGTACAACAGCAACAACAACAACAGCGCTAGCAACTGTGCCACAACGTACAGCGGCAACGACAGACTGCGCACTGGACACCTTGGCATCGGGCGCCACAATAAATGGCACAACGGTAACGACACAATTGCTGGCAACACCTACAACACTCAGCACGGAACTCGCTTGTGTGGTTGGCGATGCCGTCGTAGCAGCAGCTGGCACCTGTGTAAGTGAGCATGGTCAGGCGCTTGAGACTGCCGTAGGCGATGGTGTTGCAATGGGAGTAGCGACAGCCAACACTCTGTGCGCCACACTAGATGAGCTGGCAGCAGCACCAGCTACAACAGCAACACGCTTAACACCGGAAATGACAGCAAACACTGCATGCAATGGCAAAGGCAACAACAGCAGCAACACTAGCAGCAATGACAGTACAACAAGCAGCAATAGCAGTCGTGCGGTGGGGGCGTGCAGAAAAATAATTAAATCGACAACAATAACAACAACAACAACACCGGTAGATGTAACGTTAACAACTGGTGCGACAGTGACGAAACCAAACGATTGGGTTGTGATTCCGGTATTTGCGGATATTGTTAAATTGGCATTGGCCGGACGCGAGGAATGCCTGCAGCGGTAAGCCTAAATTTACTCCAACACATTTCCGGTTTTAGCTTTGCTCACACATGTCAAACAACTTGTCGTGCACACATAATCACAAATCGAGACACACACACACAAACACATATTTACATGCACACAAAGGCTTTACAGTCGCACACAAACGTATTTATGCTGATGCCATCACATGCAATATGCCAGCTTTTACGCCTCCGTTGCAGTAATTGTGGTATATCAATCATACGCCCAGTGGCACCGGCAGTGATGTGAGTTTTATTATGGCAGCTTACACGATTGCACTGGCGAAATGTGTCGTGTGGCATTTATAACGCAGCGACAATGTATAATTAGCTGAAATATCTGTTGCAAGTAGTTTAAGTTATTGATATGTATAGGTTGCGTATACGCACTGTTGATCAGTACAGCTTGTAGGTATAATAATCAAAGGAAATTGATTTTTGTAGAATTTGAATACACAAAATTATACTATTTTCTTATGCGTGCATAAAAAATACATTTTTAGGAGTTTTTAATTTATTATATTTTTAAGAAAAATATGCTACGTATACGCCCCGTTGATCACTGCAACTAGCGGTTATAATAATCAAATGTAATTGATTTTTTGTGTGAGTTTAATACACAAAAGCAACACAATTTTCTAACTTTTAAATAAAATAAGAAAAAACGTTTATTTCGGTTGCACCGAAGCTATAATACACTTCACAAATACAAAGGCTTCTTACAAGAACTTGATGCCGATTGTTCAGTTTGTATGGCAGCTATATGCTATAGTGGTCCGATATCAGCCGTTCCGACATATTATAAGGTTTTTGTACGAGAAGGACAGGTGCAAAATTTTAGACTGATAGCTTAAAAATTTAGGGATTAGTTCGTATATATACAGACAGATAGACGGTCAGACAGACATGGCTAAATCAACTCAGCTCTTCATATATACATATGTACATATTAAGTAGGGTCTCCGACGTTCCCTTCTGGGTGTACCAAACTTCGTGGCAAACTTAACATACCCTCTTCAGGGTATAAGTATATATCTTTATATTTTTATTTTAAGCTTAAGAAAAATATGTAACGTATACGCCCTGTTGCTCATCACATGTTACAAGTACAATACACTAATTAAGCAAATTTTACTTATGTGGCAGTTTTGCACACTAATATTATATAATTTTTTTATTTACAATTCTAACAATTAAGGAAGATCTAAGTTCGGGTGTAACCAAACATTTTATACTCTCGCAACTTTCGAGGATCAAAGCCTGGTAAACACCTTCAAGTGCTGCAAATCTTTATAATAAACCAGGAAAGTATCGCCATGATTTTGTCTATTTAAGGCAAGAGGATAGACTGTTATTTTAAAAATATTATTTCTGAATTTCATTACAATTTCTTACATATTAACCGACAAATGCGTTATCAAATTAAACGATAGCACGAAAATATTTACTTTAGGTATATGGAGGCTGAGGAAAGTATTGACCCGATATTACCAATTTTCGGCACAAGGGCATGCTGTCATTAAAAAAAGATTCTCTTCGAATTTCTATACCAGATCTCACAGATTAACCGATATGTGCGGCAAAAAATCGGCCATATGCACTGAGGTGCACATATTTGTTGTCTGAGTCTTTGAAAACACATAATGAGACTTCGGCAATTTTTGGGCGTTAGATGAAATACCTTGAGTGAACTATTTGTGCAAATTTTATTCTGATAACTTCATTAATGTTTCATTTGTATACTGTAAACTGAAAGAATTTAAAAGTTAGCTACAGAAGTAGACGTGATAGGTGACACAAATTACCGTTAGCTGAAAAAAATAATATACTCTGTAGCGATATGTTGTAAAAGTATAAAAGCATTGACTTATGTAAAAATAAATATTTTTAAACAAAAAATTATATATCCTCAATTGAATTCGAAGCCACATGCGACTCATATAAATATTTTTAATACACGCAATTAGCAATAATTATAAAATATTTGTATAAAAATCTTAAAAAAGCTAACACAATTTGCTGCTCCCATCTACAATTATATATCGCATCAATTTACTATAATATTAAACCATTTTCTCACTGATTTAATTTGCTCAACAGCCTACTACGAAAATATAAAAATGCGCGCTTTATCGGCACATAAAAATGCAATAAAACAGCTCGGGTAACAGCTGACAGCAATGAGGTGCAAAGCTTTAATGTCGACCAACTACAACAAAGCAGAATGTAGTTTTATTATTTTAGTATTCATTTAATATAAGAAAAGTGTAGAAAAAAGTCTTGCACGATATGTTTTCTACTTTTTTGGCGACGCCTAGACACGTTCCGTTTTTACTAAACACCATTAAAGTCACTACTTTTGACGTGTTGTTAAAATGCAATAAAATTCGTTTTTATATCCTTTAAATGCAACATCACTGCTGTTACAGCAACGCGCTGACCATTTCACAGCCCAGCGCCTGCCAGTGGTGGCACGCACAACGCGCTGAGCACACAGTCTGGTGAAGGCCTATGTAAGCAGATCCATATTCTACTTAAATCCAATTTCAAGTGGCCATCAGGCGTCAGCGCCACCATTCATGCCGCCCGCTGTCATTTACGTCGACCTCATGCGACCCAACTTCGCCACGCATAAATACGTACTTACGTTTAGCGATATATTTATTTTTATTTTCCATAATATACACGTACTTTCGCAACCTCCTCTTCGCTGCTTTACACATAACTGTGCATGCGTGTATGCGTGTAGAGCTCACACAGGCAACGTCTCATCGAGCATAGTGAACCGACAACATAGCTAAGAATTATTGTTGCCACGCCGGCAGCTATATCCTTGCGGCCTGGCAGATAGACTCCGCTCCGCTTGTAAATCGTTTTGCCTGGCTTTTAATATGCCAATGTGTGTGCATATGTGAGCGCATTCAACTCAAGCAAGGCCGCACTTACAATTCATGCCACTCGCACGCACACACACACTTACACAAGCATACTGACACATATACATATATCACTATGTGCAAAATTTAAATAATCCGCTTGCAATGAGCTCGTGCTGCGCCGATGAGTATATTAAAAGGAAATTCGTTTAAGACGAACACAAATAAACGTAAGCTCAGCCGGCGGTCAATTTTGCTTTACGAGTGCTGACTCGGCCTCAATTGCTATGCTAACAATGACCACTTTCCAACAGGGTGAACTTGAGTTGAGTTGAGTTGCAGTAGCAAGACAAGGGCAGGCGAAACTTTGCTGAAATAATCTATTTAAAAAAATGTTAGAGCACTTTGAGAGCTTTGTAGGATGTTGCTAAATAACTTGAAATTTGTACTAGAAAAACTCGGATGGCAGTTTTGAGAATAATGAAAATGGGAAATGTTAGAAATACTAGTAGTAAGTGTTTATTGATTTTAAGAACACCAAATCCTATGCTGTGCTTTAAGACTTAACCAACAAAGCAGCAAAAAAAATCTAACTTTTTAGTATAACTTTTATTCTTGCTAGTCACTTTGTTTGATATAATCAATCTTCTAGTCAAATTCATGCTACTTAATAATGAAATCTTATCTTGGTTTTGATTGAAGATTTTAGCATTGGCTTGGGCAATAATTTTTGCTGAAACTCGTGAAGATATCTAGTCAAATTAAAAAGTTTTCCATACAAAGAATTTGATTTTGATCGTTCAGTTTGTATGGCAGCTATATGATATGGTAGCACTATATCAACGGTGGTGACAATTAATCAGCTTTGTAGGGCATAAAAGACATATGCTAAATATCAGATCGATATTTCAAAAACTGTGAAGATTTTATACTACAATTATTGAAGGTTTCTCTGGCCCAAGCAAACTAACAGCAACTTTAAAAAACATATATTATAATAGATTTTGCTTAGTTGGAAAATTTCATAAGTTATTTTAATTTTTGTTAACAAAAAATATTCTTCAAAAACTGCTTCTACGTCTGTTGTGTGTCCTTCATTTGATACAAATCGCATATATCTTAGTTCCTTCTACAGATATCTGTGAAAGAAATTGCTTCTCGTTGGACATGGGTTTTTTTGTTTTTGACGAAAAGATCTCAGAGATCGGCATCTTATCTCTTACAATCGACGTTGTTATTAACACAATACTTTGGTAATTTCGAGAATTAAGATACCGCTATTAAAAATTCCTTTGGCAGTGTTTTTCAATCAAGATCACAGAATATGTTCATTAACATTTTTATAGCCTGAGCAAGTTATATTAAATTTACCACTAAGTTTGTAATACTAAAAAGTAAGCGTCGAAGATTCTAGAAAATATATACATATATAAATGATCAGCATGGCGAGCTGAGTCGATTTAGTCATGTCTTTCTGTCTGTCGGTCCGTCTGTTTTTGAGATAACAATCTGAAATCTTCCACACGTGCTTCTCTCCCAAAGTGGCTGCTCATTTGCTGGCAGCATCGATATCGCACTACTACAGCATATAGCTGTCATACAAACTGACCGATCAAACTCAAGACACTGTATTGAAAACTTTTAATTTTGACAACATATCTTCACGAAATTTGGTAGAGAATATTATCCAAAAGATCGCCACATTACTCGAAGAAATAATTCAGATGGGATCACTATAGCATATAGCTGCCATACAAACTTAACGATCGGAATCAAAGCTTTGTATGGAAATACTTTGTATTTGACGAGATATGTTCACGAAATTAAGCACGGATTGTTATCTCAAAAAATCGTGTAAGCTCCGGAGAGTTGTTCAGATAGGATCACAGTTACATAAAGCTGTCATACAAGCAGACCGATAGAAATCAAGTACGTGTAAAGAATGTTTTGTATTGGCGAAGAGCATTATAGTTGCAATGAAACCGAAGTAAACGTTTCTGTTGTTTTAATTTTTTTTTTTCTATATACTTCAAAATTAAGAAATTTTCCTACAGGGCGCTTGTCAGATTTCCTGCTGACCGCACGCGCACTTTTGGGTGAAACATTAACGGCATTATGG